AATTATACGACGATACGACAATTTTTAATGGAGTTATGAGCAATTAAAGTCAAAATTCTTTTATTTAATCCGCGATAACTCCGTAATCAAAAGTCGTAGGAATATTTAAAAAAACGATTTTGAAGGGAAAGTATCAAGCTTTCACGATATGTAATCGAAAATTTTCTCAAATTCGTTTTGGACACATTACAAATCCACAAAGTGAGAAGAAAATTTTTCGTCTTTTTCAGCTCGTAGTTTTTGGTATGTAAAAATGATCAAACTCATATAAACTTAAAAAATGTGATAAGCTTTTAAAAGTAGAGATTTCAAGCTTTAAAACCCTTTTTTTAAATTTGAATTTCATTCATTATTGACGAAGATATTGTATATACAACTTTGAGCTAAAAAATACGCGATGACTTTTTACTACACCTAATATATACAAATTTCGGGAAACAAAGAAAAGGAGAGAGCACAGGTTGTAGAGCACATTGTGCAGGAGAAAATGTTTCAAACCCAAACTCTACTTGTCTACTTGCCTTCTGGCTTCTGGATTCGACCGATTGTCACTCTCAGTTTTGTGAAGATTAGTGCATGGAACGACACAACACGCGCAATCTTAGATTGGGATAAACGCGAGTTCGCGAGAGAACTTGCACAGAGAGTTGCGTCGTCACACAAACAGTATTCAACACTAGCCGTACTGAGGCCATAGCCGCATAGCCGCCAGCAGCCAACCGAACGGCATCCCCTACTTACCTCCTCGGATCCATCCCCTCCATTATACCATTGCCGTATTTCCGCATGAGTCAGTGGTGCTCGTAGGTGTATTTGCTGTCTTTGTGCAAATACTGCATCAACTGAATACCAGTCGCTCGAGACTGTCTGCACAATTTCATTTACCGTTATCGATTATTATTCCATAAACGATCATACAAACCCAGAGTAAAATCAATGCCGCGCAAACAATCATCGTATTCGTAGTCCCTTGAAATTTCTAAAACTGCAAACGTTACAGCCGAATATATTCTAAAATTACTCTTTTTTTTTTAATATTTAAAATCGATTATTGATAGCCGTGTTTTTCCATCTTTCATCTGTTTTCGTTAAAAAAAATAGCTCTGCATATGTGAGAGCTATAAGCATACAAATGCAAAGAGATTTCCTTGTTTGTTTTGGTTTAACTCGCCAAATTTACTGATGGATGAAACTCTATCGAGTATATGTTTATACTCACATGCATTAGTTATGATAACAGATGATTAAATGTTTATGCAGAGATGACAGGATAAAATAGCGATGGGTTAGCAAAAACATAATGCAGACAAGTTGATGGTTGATTCTTTTTTTCTTTTTTTTTTTTTTTTAAACACTCTCCTTACATCGGTAAACGCACACAACAATAATCCGATTATTATCAAAATACTACAGATAGCACGAGCGCCGTGTTATCAATATAATATTCAATTGCATTATCCAAATTAAAATTTCTATATCTCACAATATTTTCTGTGGTATTACAATAGATAGTAACACAACAGTAGGTAAAGCTCGTGTGTATCTTTACGTCATAATTTATATGAGGCGTTCCGTGTTAATCTCGCGAATCGACCGGAAATAGGAGAAACTCGGTGCGGTCATGCTTCTTTAAGCATCCGCGTCCGCATCCTGCTATTCACGAATGACACGACGTTTAAAACTAAAAACTTACTTAAAAAATAAATCGATTCAATATATAAAATCTATTTCTCTCAACGATTATAAAATACATCTCGCGGAATATCTTGTATATACAGATTTGCATGCTTTGCATTCTTTTTACAACGTCTTTGTACATTTATTTTCGACATGAATAAACTAGAACTTAGGATATAAATGTCCGTCTGTGTCTCTAACGTTGGTCATTTCGAATACGGTCTGCTCAAAAGTAGAAGTCGCAGATGCGTGTTCGAGTGAAGTTCCAGATTGAAAAAAAATAAAGAGGAAACACTTAAAGTAGCGTAGTATAGACTTTCACTCGAATCCGGTTTGCTTGATTCAATGCAACGTACAGTCTTGGTCCCTAGAAATCACAGCCATTAAATGCAACGAACGATCTGAGATTTAAGGCCACTCGATTTTAAATCAGCCGCTATAATTTGAATTCGAAAATGGCAATGTAATGTTAGCGTTATCGCAATATCGGCAACGAGGATGTCCCTATGGGCAAGCGATGACGCGTATTGCATCTCGAACGAAGTTTTGATGCTCTTTAATAATCTGTATTGCATGATGATATTAACGAACGCGAATTTCCACGTTCAACAGCACCATGGTTAACTAGCTTTCCTCTCGTATCTACAGCATTAAAACTACAATTTACAGAAAGCTAGGTAATCGTTAATCAGAAATAATTAAATATTATAGAGTTATTAGACAAGATTGTCAATGCAAAAGGCTTTCGGAGGTCAGAAGATTCTCTTCTAATCGATGAAAGAATACACGACTTTTGAGGAGAATTGGGAGAGCGAAAGATCAGTCCCCCTTTTTCGGCGATCGATTGGTTTTTCCGGTTGATGAGATGGATACGTTTTTTTTTCATCTCGATCTGACCTGTCACGCGACAATAGTCGTAAGAGCGTTGCTTTTGCTTCCGTAGCTACTGGGTCTGCAATGAATAATTAATACATGACACTCGAGAGAGAGAGAGAGAGAGAGAGAGAGAGAGAGAGAGAACAACATAAAACCTGTATTACTTAGAGTAATTAAGTAACGATAAGTGTAAATGTGATATACCTGATAGTAGCGTGTTGCGAGGAACGCGACCATCCAGCAATAAAATTGATTTCGCCTCTTTGACTGCTAATACGCTGCCGACGAACTTGACCGTCGCTTTTCGCGACGATTCGCCGCGAGACAACGTGCATAGCATCTGGTGTGATAGTGGACTGTATCGCTTTATACATTAACCTTTTTTTCATCAAAAAAAAAAGAATGCCATTGAATTTGCTATTTATTACAATTAACCGAATCATTAATTATTGATAAATTAGTTTATTGATAAAGAAATAATAAAGAAATAGCAAAAGTTACATGAAATCATAATTTAATTTTTAAAAAATAATACAGATATATTCAATATGGTGCTATGCCAATTCAATCGTATAAATGGAGTTTAAACTGACTAAAGTAAAAGACAGAAAATTTCGAATTGATTAAATATAAAAAACTATAAATCCAGTAGTTTTATTTTTGTAGATTTGTGAATTAATATTGCTCATATAATTACTATAATATAAAACAAGCTTACCTAGGCATTAAGGCAAGAACAGAAGTAAGTGCCACTGTCAGCCAGTATGTGATATGTGTAAAGGCCTGTTCCATTATCCAAAAGGACCCAGGTAGGCCCATGCAATTGACACAAACAGCATTGTAAAATAAGCAAAATCCGAAGAAAATGCCTAAGGAACCGAAGATGGCACCAATATGGATTATAGTCTGAAATAAATATTGTGTTACAATGCGACATGGAACGTCTGTAACATTTTTATATTCTCTCTTACATAGTTTATATTTTCATTTTTTCTTACTTACCCAAGACCTAGTTTCTATAGCAGCATGAGCTAGCATAACGACGATACACGCTGACATAATAGTTGTCCCAAATTCCCATATGTCAATAATCGAATCGTCATAAACCTGAAATAAACGTGGGCTTATCATATAAAGCAGGCCTGTCCAATTTGAGCCAAAACGTAAAGTCATCGACGTAAAAAAATTCAATGTGACTAAGATTTTAGGAATTACAAAAACTACAAAGTGTTGATAAGCGTCACTTAGATTTCCCGAAATCTTATCCACATTGAATTTTTTTGTTATTGTCGGCTTTATGTTTTGACTCCGAAGCTGATATAAAGTGATGATTACTTCCAGCGAGCTTAAAATATACTAACCTCTTTGGTAATAAAAAATATGACGATACTTTGGTAAAGAGCGTCCATAATCGTGAGCCAAAACGAATGCGACTGATACACTAGTCCTAGACGTCCTCTTGTGTATAATTCCGGCGCTGTAAGTAATATGCGAGCTTTGGCGACTCGATCGTAAATGCCTAAGGCGAGAGGTGGCAGCGAAGTAAACAATAAATTGTACAGCATTAAATATATTTGGTCTATCATTACAGCACCGGAAAAGCCGCAAAATATCTGCAAAAAAAGAGAAAAAACATAATTATAATATATAATAATTATTATAAATTATAATTATAAATATTTATTTCTCATTTATTTTTATGTTTTTCTTTTTACGTTTATTCGATACTTGCTTGAAACCAGAATATAAGGAAGACAAAAGTAGCGTTCTTGTAAAAGAAGTATAAAATCATTCTAGCGAGACGGTCGTAACACCAGTGACCGTGTAGAAGGAGGAGCCGGCTCAGCATAGAAAATCGGGAAATCGCGAAATCGGCTGCCATTACTGCTTGCGTGCCTTCTTGCCCTGAGATACCGACGCCCACGTCGGCGGTCTGTATCATGCTAACGTCATTCGCGCCATCGCCAATTGCTAACGTCCTCATTCCCAATTGTTTTTTAACGATACGGACTATGTATGCCTGCAACATAAAATGAATTATATTATTCTTCATCATTATCATTTTACTTATTAATTCGCGACTAGAGTTTGTTCAATCGGTATTCATAGTCGATTTTTATTTTGTGATTGTCTTATAAGTAATAATTGTCTTAAGATGCTAATACGGTTCTATGCTTGGCTCTATGACATATTAAACTATACTTAAGATTATCGTATATATAAGAATTGAATATCGACCCTAGTTGATTTTTATATTTGAGACCATCTTGAGTACAGTGTTAAGATGTCATAAACTCATCACAGGTATTCATAGTTAGTCCTTATATTTAAAGTGGTCTTAAGTACAGTCTTGAGATATTATAAGCCACTGTATTATAGAAAATATTAGCATCTTAAAATATTACTTAAGATAATCTTGAAACAAAGACGGACTATAAATATTATTCTTTAATATTTCGTTGTCAACGGATTACCTTTTGCAATGGCGTGGCACGACAGGCTAAGACGCTAGAGCACATTCTCGTGAGCTCGAGAAACGGACCGGTCAAACCCGATCGCGGATCTAGGATCACGGTCAACGTCTTGCCGTCCACAACAAGCGCGCGTTGTCGTGGCCACGGGCTGCCGATCCTATGCGCGTCTCTCTCGATGATATCGCGATTGTATATGCCGGCGGGATCCGCAATGCCCATCATACCCGGCTGCGAATGACTGTTGTTTATGCGCTCTTTGCGCGCCGACTCCAGGTAACCGTGTATAAGCGTCTCAGCTACGGATTTCGATCTCGCCTGCAGCTGCAGCAGTTGCATGGCCGGCGTGAAGAGCTGCGCCGAGTACGCCACGTTCACTGCGGTCTCCGGTTTGTCCCCTGAAACGGAAAACGAGACCGTGCTGACGTGGAACTCGCATTAACGCGCGCTAATTGCGTTCAAGAACACGGACTGGTTCCGAGGGATGTTTATTTTTCATTGGCTTTCGATACGTACGCCTCTGTAATTTTTTTTATCCATCGTCTTTATATAATAGTATTTATGCAATAATGGATACGTGCAACGTTGGCTGTGTGGGGGAAAAATGCATTTACGATTCAATGCGAAACGCCTTATGTATCTCTCTCTAAGATGTTCGCACTAAAAATAGTGCTTGCCGATGTTAAAACCGGTTTGTCGCGATTGTTCGCTGGCTCGCGGGTGAGTGATTTTCCACGAACCTGTCAGAACCCACACGACGATCCCGGCGGCGACCAGAGCGGCCATTGTTTCGGGCACACCAGCCTGGAGTTTATCCTCGATACCAGTCGCACCCAATAACGTCAAGTGTGACTCCAGCATCGCGTACGAGTCGCGTATGCGATGCTCGCGATTCTCCGTTGCCAACTCCACCTCGTCGTGTTTCTGTCTCCACGTCTCGTACTCTTGCGCTGTCAGTGTTCTCTTCGCTATCACCAACGTGCGTAGACCTTGACGCGCGTACGATTGCAGGTACTGTCGGATACTCGCCGAGGCGACGGTGTTCTCATCGCTCGACGAAAGCGCCGGCAGTATCGTCGTGTCGGCACCCTTGCTGTATAACACTATCTCGCCGGTATGAGGATGCCTGAGCAACACCGACATGCATTTCCTGTTCGAATCAAACGGCAGCACCTGCAAGCGTTCGAAGAATCACAACGGTGAACCACTTACATTCTGCTAGTACCTCGCTGTTTTACATTCTCACGAGCGACTTGTAACCACCTACGTGAAGTATCTCGAACGCGATCGTTGACTTATCCGGGAAGGATATAATCGCGCTGCGGGGCGTCCGTTTCACTAGCTTGATGTCGTAAGCGCGTGCTGCGTGAACCAGTGCCAACTCGTCCGGGCTCTCCGCCTCGTAGATCGCTGGACTCTGTAGCAGCTCATCGCCGTTCTTTGCATCAGGACTGCGTCCTGAAACCTTCTGTCCCTCCGGCGAAAATTTCCGTCCCAGCAATCCGATGCTCAGACTCGGTATCGATGTTACGTTCAGCAACTTTGGCCTACAAATTGCGCCATTAAATATCATTGTATCTTGAGCACCTTCAAAGCGTTGTACCAACCTGGAAATTTTAAATGGGAATTTCGAAGTATCGTCGAACGTATTTGCCGTGTTAATTACTGGTGAGCCTGCAGATAAAGTGTGAACAGCTCTGTTGCTCGGAGATAATGGTACCGGTGGAGAATTTACGGTCGGAAATGAGCTCGCGTCTGCTTGCGTTATTCTGTTGAATATCCCGATGTTAAGTTCGTGAAAAATAATTCGTGATAAATGCGATGATAGATCTGATCTCTCTATTGTAGTTGCGAAAATAATTATATTTAATTATTTTCTTTTTTTTTTTTTTTTCAAAAATAAAATTAACCTGTCAGTTATTTGCATTCCTTTCATTCAATCTAACATGTACAAACCTCCTCGTAGGGCCGCTTCCGTTTTTCTGAGGTTCCTCGATGACTCCGCTAGAGTTCATACTATCGTGATGCGGTTGAGAATTTACGACTACCGTGTTACATGTGGCTAAGACAATAAGAAACTCCTGCAAGCGATGTCGAAATGTACCTATAAGGAGGTCCTCCTTAAGCCGCGAGCACGGAAGCAAATTCTCGTTATCGCCCATATGCGAGTAATCTTGGCCGCCTACTGCGCATCTCCTAAATAGCATTTTGTTCTCCGTAAGAGTGCCAGTCTTGTCGGAAAAGACGTACTGCACCTGTCATTCAATAATAATATTCCAAGTATAATATTTATACCTTCCATATTATCTGCAAAATTTTTATGTTAAAATTTTATGTCAAAAACAATGCAAAGAAATGTTGAGAATTAAGACAGAACGATTATGTCATTCAAAAAAATTAAACTAATTGAGTTTATAGTAATATAAAAAACATTAAATATAAAAAAAAATTTTTATATCTAATATTTTTTATATTAGAAGTGTATTGTAATGTCAGGATATAAATGTTCAATTTTCATTTTTTTCTCTCAAGAGATAAAATTTTCATAATATTGATAAATTAATATCGTAAAACATTCGCTCCGCGCAAATTCATTTAACATAAATTGCCACACTCACTTGGCCTAGTTCCTCCGTGATATTCAGCGCGCGGCATTCCGCCTTACGGCCGGTTTCCGTGTCGTGGAGGGCCGGGTCGTGGCCGATGTGGTACACCTGTCCCACCTTAGCCATCTCGATCGTCACGTACAGGCTCAGCGGTATCATCACTTGAAATATTATGACGAATGTCAGGAACGTCAGTAAGCTCTCGTAAATCGGCTCCTGCAGGACCGGTAAAAACGGCACCATCGACAGACCCGTGTACGCGGACAGCCAGAATCGGCAACCGAAAGCGCCGATCACACACAGTACCATCAATATCACCACGCACCATTTCACGTCCCTGTTCATGTATCTCTCCAAACGAGAGCGCTGAAATCACGTGCACGTTGCATCTCAAAAAGGCATTTCTTCAATGTACCTTATTTATTCAATCACTTTGACTATTCTAAAATTATCCCTGATAGAAATACGTGCAGTTTTCCTAAACAATGATTCAATTACTGTTTACTGTATTTTCACTAGTTGTAATAATACTGTATAGGAAATGAGCAAGAATTTGATAGAGGTTTATTCAGCAGCTGAATCAGGTTTCCTATTAAAAATATGTGTAATTTGTAGACACTTGCCCAGTTATTGTTTTGTATTAATAGTTATTATTATTAATTAGATTCATTGTGTACTAGTTAAATTAATACTTATACGTAATCTTTATTGTCCTGTTTTTGCTCAATAAATGGATTCAAATTTTGCTCAAGAATTGCAAGAAAATTACATCTTGATTGGGATACTAAATAATTTTACTTTTCAATTACTGAACAGAGTTAATATAAATTCAAATTAAAAATGCACAAAACATGCATGACATTTCTACCAAGGAGATATTTGTTTCCATTGGTATTTACCTTGTACCTAGGACCACCGTTGTTCAGCAACGCTTTGGTCTCATGGCCGGCGTATATGACTATACCCTCGACGAAGTCCGTGTTTTTTAAGACGCATTCCCTGAGTAAAAGATTTTCCGTGGATACGGGCACCCTGCCGCCATTTGGATGTACCACGGCGCCATGAAACCTAACAGACACGTCAGTGGGATCACTCTGATAATCTAATGAATTCTGTTTAAACATTATCACGGCAATAAACGACATTGTGATGAGCGCGTTTCTCAGATAAATTGCAAAAATCTCGAGTCAAAGATTTACGGTAAAAATGTGAGGGACAATTGATAATTTGTCTAAAAAATTTGTCTTCAAAGTTTAAAAATGATAGAAATAATTTTTAATTTTTTTTAACACACAATAAATATTTACCTATATATTCTAGTACTTGGTTGATCGACCTCGACTACTGATCGGAACTTGGAAGGCTGGAAGGTACCCTGCAGATCGAGAAAACCCCGGACAATCTGGCGCTGCTTCAGATTCGACTCGCCATCGAGGTTGCATGTATCGAGGTAAGCTAATCCCTGAGGATCACTGCTTCGCAGAAGCAAGAGATCGGCCGGTACCAGTTCGTTGTTCGAAAGGTGAACCAGATCACCCACCTTGACATCCTTCCACGCTACCTTCATGTATCTGTCGCCTTCACTACAATGAAATCATGAGAAATTTCGTCAAGATATGACTGTCACACTAGTTTTAAGCATTACTTGAACAACATTGGAAACGTAATTGCATAAATGTGACGCACAATTAAGTAATAATGTAATTAAAAGAATCGCGCAATAAATAAATTAGATACTCCTACATCTGCGACGTTTTTTAATTTCACCGTCTGCAATTACGTAAATTGCATTTAGCGACTTTGCAATAGAGATCTGATTGTACGCTCAACGAAGAGACTGTGAATATTTTTCTAATAAAGCACAGTCTTTTTTTTAATGAACTGAATTTATCATGCATGAAATGCGTATCATATCAATATGTTTCATACGCAAAATATTATATATATATATTAATAAAATAATTTACATATATTGTTATTTTATTATTAAATAGCATCAAATAAAAGTTAAATATCCATTTCTCTTTCTCTCAAAGTTGAATCGGCGAATGAAATTTTACATAAACATCTTATTTAAGTTGACGAAAGCAATCAACAAATCTTATATTGCATAAAAGAATTTAGATTATTCTGCTGTCGTCACCACAAAAAACATTTCGCATGGCTTCGAACGCAAATATTTGTTAAAATCGAAACAAACTCCATCTGCACAGCGAAACGGCAATAGTATTATAATTATTATTTATCTTCCAAAACAGAAAATTAATGAACCACCGTGAATATTATCGTGCATAATAAACAGTACGATAAAAAATTAAACAGTTAACGAAAAATTCTTTGCCATGTTTTGCTCCGTCGCTCTTTTTTTCATTTTAATTAAATATTGTAAAATTTGTTTAACGTTGAGTCAAATATTAGGCACATCACTCATAAAAATATACCTCTAGGAAACATGTTATACTTTAATTAACTTTCTATATCTAATAACCAAGTCAAGGATATTGAAAATTTAACGTTGTGAGTCAAATATTAAGCACATCACTCACAAAAACATACCTCTAGGAAATATATTATACATTAATTGATTTTCTATATCTGACAAATAAGTCAAGGATATTGATATACGAAATATTGATACATCGTATACAAGTTGTGAAAGAGTATCGTGAAAATATAATTTCCTATTACTCTCCGGTTCTTCTCGGCACGGAATTGCAATGGATAGGCCTACAGGCGACCTTGCTTGGTTAATTCAAGAAAGATTCATCTCTCTCGAGTACTCTTAGGATATGACGAAATAGCCGATTGACGATATTTCTTTAATTGAAGCACATAGAATGGCGGCATCCAAGGTTGTACGACCTTGAACGCCATCGTCACAGCCATTCTCATGGATCATTTGATCGGAATGAAATTGAGACGACGGGACGGTCATTGGAGATGATCATCGAAATAAAATTGAGACGACCTTTGAGAACTGCAGATCCTCTCATAAACGATATTGTTTCGACATTTGGACGCGGTAGATTCGCAACATATTAGTAAATGGGAGGAATTTATTTTGAGAACAAGAGAATATCGTGTATCTTTACAAGGTCATCTTATTAGACGAGACTAAATGATGTAAATTCTTTTGTGTTCGTGCCTTGAAAGATAATAGAAAGAAAGACACCATTCTTGTGCCTTTACACCGTTCACTTTTTCGTCACGTTTAGTATGTCATAAATCATTGTAAATGCATGCATTATGCATCCGCGTATCCTATCGGTGTCACGATTAAACGATGTTTCCTTTTTGTCATGGATTTGTATGGTCGTTATGGACCTCGAAGAAGCAACGTAGGTATACGATGTATATATCATAAATAAATGAGCTAATTATGCAATTACGTACGTAACATCTGCCTGATATCATAATCATCTCCATAATACAGCGAGAAATCTAATGAATTCTATATAATCGCGAATATAACACAATATTGCAAAAACAATGTCTAACTGGACATAGATAAAATACATAACAGGTTTTTCTGCGGTATATTACGTAAGCAACATAACTGCGTTCTCAGCATACCATATTAAAGCAGGACTATTACTTATTAATTCGTCGTAATCATTTGTTTAATGATTCCTGAAATAAATTTGTTCATTTTCTTAAATGAATAATATTTTTTTTTTAGTCGCACGTATTCAGACGATCAAACATACCCCGTACACTATCATCGTGTACGTTATCGTCGGATGCATAATTTTAGGATAACGCAATTTTTAACTGTACTATAATTATGAGAGATAACAAGTCAAGGATAACTTAGTAGTAACTTATATTACCGTTATCAAAATTCACAGAACTTCTATATATGCAGGCAAAAATTTTATATTTTTCAACTTAACATTTTCTTGGCATTCTTTTAACATCTGTTTGAACTTGAATTTCAAACGGCTACGATTCTAATACTTATGAAATTTTATGATTTAATCTACAGTTATCTACAGTTAGTAAACATCAGTTGCAAGTTCATTAATTTATTTAAAATTAATTTTTATTAAATTTAATTTTACCATTTTTAAATCTAAGTCATAACACTTGGACTCTCGAAATTAAAACAAAAATAATTCGATAAACAGGCAAGAGTAAATTGCACGGTTAAAGGTTAAACCGTGCAGTTTACTTTCATTTGCCTGTTTATTGAATTATTTTCGTTTTACCATTTTTGATGTCCACACTTGAACATTTTTGCAAAAAGTCTTCCAAATTAAATTACAATTCCTTTAAAATTAAATAAAAACCAAAAACATATATATACTTAATTAATTTAAAACTTAATAATCTAAAATAAGGAAAGTAAAAATACTTTTGTAAAAAATAATCATTCTGATTATTAAATGAAAGAAATCATGAGAAATGTGTTAGAAAACGAAGTACAAATTATTTGCAGTCTAACATTTATATAATTATGCTTTTTACGCTGAAAATTTTTTACATTTATATAATTATGCTTTTTACTTGCTTGTAGAAAAAGTTTCCTAGAAGGTCTCTATATATGAATCTATTGGTTACTCGTCGATATTCATCTTAAGCGCATTTCGAAGAAATAGAACGATATAGTTATAGAATACGCAAACGTACACGCATTACATACGTTTACACCCGCATCGCGTGACGCAACTGGTGACATCATTCGCCGGTTTAACGGCGCTCAAAAAGCTCTGAAAAAGGAAAAAAAAAATGAGCTGAATGTCTGCCTTCCCGTCTCAAGTTTATCCCAAATTTAGTTAAAATGAAATTCTTTTTATAATGTTATAACAGAAGAACATTGTATATTGGATGACATTTAAAAGTTTGCGAACGGTACGTTGGTTTCGTCGGTGAGTTTTGTGAGAAAGGAGGCTTCTAAAGTGAGATATTGAGTAGGCGGTCTTATGGCTTCGGATTTAGGATAAGTTTTAACGTTAAGTTGCAAGAGCATGTCCAGTGACTACGACAACAATGAAACTACGACGAAGGTCAATAGCTGTATGTTTGAAAATCGACGTCAAACAGGCGAGGAAAGGGCGATAATCAACTCGTACATACACGAAACTTGTGACATTTTCTCCGTATAACCTGAGAAACTTTTGTTTTACTTGCAATTTTAACAGTGCTGCAAAATAAATTTAATTAAACAATTATAAATCAAAAGAAGACAGTCTTTTTTCGAATTATTATAGATGCTAGTGAAATCGAAACAAAAATTGAATTCTGCTCCTCAATTCGTGGACATTTATAAAATACGACAGAATAAAGTGTTCATCTAGAGAAAGGTTTCTTTGATTTAAAGAAATGTTTCTTTGTTATACGGTTAAAAGAAATTTCTTTGATTTGAACATAATTTCTTTAAATCAAATAAATTTTTTTTAAATTTAATTTCAAAAAATAATATTTAAATCAAAGAAATGACGTTCAGATCAAAGAAATTTTTTCTTTAACCGTATAGCAAAGAAACATTTCTTTAAATCGAAGAAACCTATCTCTGGGTATTTATTGAGATCTGACAAAGTCTTATAAGGCTACATAAAACGGAGTTGAATTTTAATTAAATACAGATAGACAGATCATAAGTAACACTTTCGCTTAGCTGCCGCACCTTGGCAAATAACGTCATATTACAGTCTGTTGCTAAAAATTTAGAAGAACAAGCTACGTGAACGAAGGGAGGAATTAAATTCCATATTAAATTATTTAAACCTGCAATTAATTAAACAAACTGAGATAAGAAAAGATTGATTTCGTGACTTAAAAAAATTCTACAGTTCCATAGTTGTACGCATGTGCATTCTTCCGAAAAATGTTGACACATGTCTCTCAGAACTCTTTGAAAGAAGAGGCGCGTAATTGGAATAAAAATATGTCGCGGTAGACTTTAACAAGTAGAATCGAAAGATTGTAAGGTTCGCGCTATGTGAGACGAGATAAAAAGGGGTAATGGCAGTAAATGCGAATGTCAAGGCCTTCGGCGCACGAGATCAGAATCGACCTGGCCATGAGTGTAAGAGGAAAAGAGAGCGAATTGTTCGCATTATTATGCGGATACGTTGCGTTCAGAAAACCATAGAGTTGAACGATTAGCGAGCGCGTATAGTCACGACTGAAAGAATCGCCACCGCCGAGAGTCGCCAATGCAATTTTGAATCGATCGTCCTTTCCGATAGAGAGCACGCAAATGCATCGGCAGGTATCAAAGATATGTATAATATTCGTATCATATAGTAATCCGCAAGCATAGCAATTAGAATATTTTATTCTGTGGCACCACAGGTAACCATGTAAATATTTTATCTCACTGCCATGATAATGATTGTTTTGATAAGTAATTTTTTTTTTATCGTAGCGATAAAAGAAGAGATTTTTAATCAAGACTACCATACCAATTATGGAACGATTTTGTATGACAAGCGTGATCGGGAATGTGAATTAATATTGAAAAGGAATTGACGTGTATACGATATGATGAGACACGTCGAAGGGCAAGGTCGCCTGGCGAAATCCAGGGAGACGTATCGGAATTGCCAGGTCATCGATCAATTTTCCGATTACATTGCATTATGAATGAGGGTTCGTGACGATCACGGAACTGCCCACGTTCGCAAGAACGATCAAAACGACGAGCGAGCGATTAGGTAGATCAACGGCAATTGAATCACAATTATAATTATATGAGACCAAATGAAAATCTGTTGATTTTCATATAGACGTAAAAATTAAGAATAATATTTTTGGATCATAAAGTAATTATCTTTATTTATTTTTCACACAATGTTTTCGTATGTAAATTGAGAAAAAAATCTCAATTTTTCCTCAATTTACATCGATATAAAGTCGAGTAAAGAATTCCGCTCTAATTGTACGGGTCCCGATAAAATGTGAGTTATACACTGAAAGAAAAGATTGGCTGAATATGACCAATTTTAATTGGTTGCAGCAGTCAATTTTTGGTTGCGTTAGCCTATCGAAATTTTACACTGACATTGCGAATAGGCTAATGCAACCAAAAAATTGGCTGCTGCGGCCAATTAAAAATGCACATTTTACCATCTAATCTACTGCAGCAGCCTTCATCTTTTCTTTCCAGTGTAGCAAATTCGATTGGGCGCATATTAAAACAAGTGCATATTAAAACCGTTGTGTATTAATTTCATTTTAGTGTAAAAGCCAAATATAAATATTTCGAATTATAAAATACACATTTTTCCTAACAACGCGATAAAATGAATAGAAAATTTGGCTGTTTTTATATTTATTTTAAATAATAATAAGGTTGGAAATAATTTCTGAAATTAATTCATTTAAATAAATATATATAATATTCATTCAATTTAGATCATAGTGGCGCTTCGTATTTAAAGTAATTTATTTTAAATACACATTTTTATGGCAACTTGTATACGGCGGCTTTAACGTGCACCAATGCATACTGAGTGCGTCCAATTGAATTCGCTATCAGTTTTCATTATAATGTAGCTTCTAATGTAATGAATTGTATATACACAAGGTTCAGTAATGATTAGTTGTTAAGTTATCATCATGTATCAAAGAGAATGAATTAGAGCGGTGTGATCTAATGATAAAGTGCAGACTTGTAATGCGGAGAACCCACGTTCAAGCCCACCTTATTACTGGGAACTTTATCCTTAAGCTATGTGCTCCCCGCAGTATATATCGAGTAAAGAATGAGGACTCGTGTATGGAAAACTGGGCTCCGTCTTCTCGAAAGAGACATTAAACTTGTGTTAGAAACGCAGATGCAAGACAACAGGATGTCGACTGTGCGAGAATCAATGCATTGGTCGTTATCGATTCCATTGATATGTTATGCACTCGAGACAAGAATTGATGTCAAAAGGGGGAGTTCGAAAGCTTACCCGACAAGCTTATCGAGGAGGTGATATGCTACTCAAACGTTAGATTCTTGTATATAATGTCTTACTGCAAGTTTGTGCCTTGTAAAAGCTCACCGTTTGCTTGCTATAATTTCACAAACGGCTTCAAACGTTTGACTCTTATAGTTTCTTACAGAATGAGCTTCATCAAATATTATCCTTCCTCAACTGAGAAACGTTCAAAGCAGTTTGCGAACTTATAGCAAACAAACTATGGGCTCTTACTGGCACAAACTCATGGCAGTAAGAACCTACAAGAATAATATATCATCTCCTTAACGGATTTGTTAGATAAGCTTTTAAACTCCTCCTTCGATATCAATTCTTGTTCCGAGTTCCATAACGTATCAATAGAGAAAAGATACTCAATGTAAAGCGCATGCGGTAAGAAACTACAAGAGTCTAGCATTTGGAATAGCTTGTATATTTGTAGCGAGCAAACGATGGATTCTCTAGGAAAACCTAACTTATTTGGTACGATGAATTTAATTTTCACAATAATGTAGTAAACAAAAGATGTCATAAATGCAAGGATCAATAATGGACAGTTTTTAAAATATATGTTAGTATCAAAAACATTATTCAATCTTGTATTTATAACATCTTTTGTTTATGTACATTATATGTGAAAATTGAATTCACCGGAACTAACTCATTTATCGTATAATTAATATAGACCCTGCGCCAATTAATTGTTTGGAAAATTGTTGGGTCCGACTATGTAATTAATGCGCAGTTCTTTGTAAGCCATCAATTTTTTTCCTTTATCTCGTAAGCGTCTTCTTAAATAATCAAAGCGCAGACCGTAATAACAATAATCTACGTCTAATTACTCACATCTTAATTAAATTGCCTCTTTTCCAAGGAACATAAATCGCGAGACTTTACCTCGGATGGAAGAGGATTGAAATGAATGTTAGACCTATAGTCTTATCATCCTCAAAATTGTTACAAGTCACGAGAGACGAGATATTTCGGAGTTCGTTCCCCCCCTGATTTCGGCTATGTAATCCAAGTCCGTTGCGCTGCGACCAACCACGTGGCATGCGTACATACGCGTTTATCGGCGCAAGCGTACCGGTATCAGCCGTGGTTAGAGAACTCTAGCCGTGGCGAATTTGTCTTATTCGATCGCGTGTGCAACAATCTCTCTATTTTCGTTCGTCAAGCATGCATTTTCGGATGCGCAAGCGGAACGAGCGGCACGCGTTCGGATGCGGACGAACAGCGAATGTTAACGCGCGTTAACACGTGATAATCGCGCGTTATCCGAACTGCATAATGCGTCGTAACCGTTGCTCGTGTCGATAATAATCCCGTTGTAGTCGTCGCGGGACGCGTCGAGAGTTAAACGTAAACAACGTGGTGAACGAATTAGAACGTCGTATCGTGCATTGCGTACGCGGACGTGCGCTGTGCGGGAAAAGAACGGTACGGGACACTTTCTTCACCATGTTCGACCGCAATGTACGGCAACCGCTCGCTCGCGCGCATTCGCGTTCACATGTACGTGACCTACATATCTGGAATTGTCGGTCTTATTGGAATCGATCTATCGGATTCCGTTGCCGCAAGGATTCTAACTGAAGCGACGGCTCTACGAAGCGATACGAGTGAGGATAAATGAGCGCGAGGCCGATACCAATAGAAAAATTAAATGTCCTTGTTCAACTTTTTTATATATACTCAACGTAAAGCTTCCCCGTACATAGAATAATAAATTCGTTATTAGAAATAAAAGCTGAAGCTTTTTCGGTGTGCGGTTATTATTACTACATTATATGTATTCAGATTTCACATTCTTCGAATATCTTTCCCGATAGATGATCCCACGTACTTTTCATCGATATTCGTTAATCCTTCTTATCGAACTTCACGTACAGGTTTGCAAATAGACACGTAACGTTGTATCGGCTCTTTTTATTTGTAAAACTTGAGCTATCTCTACACGCTTTTCTACGGAAGTTCTGGGGGCAAGGGGAGAAGGGGCTTATACGATCCGTACGCTATATACTTTGCTGTGTACGACTACAATGTTGCACTCACCTAACGTAGACACGGCAGGTGGAATTGTTCACACGCCGGTCACTGGCGAGTCGTCGGCGATCTTCGAAGAAGTCCTTAAGCGCCGTGACGCCCAGAACGAATACTACGGGGATCATCGCAATCTCCTTGCCAAACGCGTTTATAGCCGGCACCCAATTAAGCAGCACGATGAAAATGAAGTACAGATTGGCCACACGGTGGAATTGCTCTAACAAATTACGAGGTAGGAAGCTCAGCGCCGTGTACTTCGTTGTGCGTACCCTGAAGAAGAAACGAGCACGCGGGAAACGCGTGTGAGACAATGGACCGTCCGCGTCTGATCCAGAGATTCTCTGGCCACGAGATGACAAACTTTTGATCGACCCGTCAAATTAGTCCGTTTGTTTAACTTCAGTAAATCAATTTCAGAGAAATAAATCTATTTTCAGTCAAAACCGGATCTGTTAGTTTCGGATCGCTTAATTATTTCAGAGTGAATTTATATGTGTACAAGTCTGTAAACCAAAGTCTTTTTCGATTTTGAAGCGCAATCATGAACAGAAGTAGAATAATAATATCACGTATTACATTAACAAGCAATTAAATAATTGTTTATGCTGAAGCAATTATAGAAGGATGTTAATAATTTGTCGAATACAATAAGTTAGAATGAGTACGATAAGAGTATAAGTTAGAATAAGGTAACATGTATAAAAAGAGAGACAGTATTCATATACCCTTTTTTAAAACTCTTGTTTTGACAAAATTGCTCGTGACCAGTACTGTTATAGGATCTCTAGTTCGAATGGACTATACACATCTTTCTCACATCTCGTTATTCTCACCTATTGTCCATCCTATTTCCATTGGGATGCTGTCTCTTCGGAGTCTTCGGGGGGACTAAATGATTCGGCACTATTGTTCTTAAACGGGGTTCTTCTGGTAGCGGGCCAAAACAATGGGCCCATAGTCTTCTCCACCATGGAGGCGCAACACTACGTCTTATCGTATAGATAGACTCCGATCTGTAAACAGTCGCAACGAAATTTACCTTTAGCACTTTATTTTCTGCATAAAGCATATCACCTTCTGTAAAAAAGATATCATAATTCTTAGTAATTTATAAATATTCTCAGTTCCGCACGTTCATCGAATTCATAGTTTTGATTGATATTTTATGACAAGGCACTCATTGTCAGTATTAATATTGTCGATGAAAAATATAAATCACGAATATATATTTTCAAATTGTGATCATACACTATACAAAATTTTAATTATAATTCAAAGATAAAATTATATTTTTTATTTTGTTACTTCCGATAATTCAAGTATCTCTAGTTATATTAAATTATAAGTCAAATTGTTTGTGTCTCTTATATAATATGAAGTGTCTTATAGTTTTTTAGGATTTAATATTTATTGTATATACCGACCATTTATCGAGAAAGTATAGACAAAGATTTATAGAGATATATATATTATGGATAGATAAAGATTATTTACAGACTTACATAAACATTTCAAGATAAGGCCGATACCAAAATGGATGTTAATTTTAAATCTCTTTAAATTTCATGTGTAATTGTAATGCAAATTTTGCAATTTACTATTTATTTATTACTATCTGTTTATCTTATTAACACACTGTTATTTTGTCAGCTGATAATTAATCTTTATCACTCAGAACAATGGTGAATCATGTTTTCTTTTACTTCGTACCTGGACGCTTGACGGGAATGTCCGCGAAAGGAAGGCATCCTGCCAGCAGTAGGCGGTCTGCCATCCTCCCTGTGGCCTGGTGGTAGGATAAAATCTGTTCTGGACCCAACACGATGGTGTCCCGTTACGGCTGGTTGGTTCTGCGTTACATCCGCCACCTGACCCTGACTGAAGGCTCTCTGGTGGCCCGGCTTCTTTAATGCCGATGGTCGACCCGCGGATGTGGCACTTCCCACCGTCGTCAATGGACCCAGGAAGGACCCGTAGGTCTGCCATTCGGTTGTACCATCCGCCAGGACACCACCGTGGCTCGCCGATCTCGCGTGCGTTCTCGGGAAGGCTTTCTTCCTGGCCGGAGAGCTGACTTCCTCTACTGCGTCCTCGTCCTCGTCGCCGTTGCTGTTTTTCGACGTGTTTGTGGTTGTCGTGATACTGGCCGTCATCGTCGTGCTCGCCGTGGTCGAACCACCGTGAAAGAACGACAGAGGAGGCGGCTGGTGAGACGCCGAGATCGACGACGAAGACGACGATGACGTCGTCGCGTAGCTGGGGCGACCCGCACCCGGAAACACGTAGAGAGATCCCTGTCTCTCGATCTCCTCGGTGGCTGCTTCCTGCGCGTCGTCCTCGGACATGCTGGCACATCTATCCACATACGCGATGTAGACAAAAAATTCCGTGTAAAACCGTGTGAAACAATAAGTGCAGAGTAAACTTTGCAAGAACCGGTTAAGTCTCTCAAAACTTTCAACAATGACACACGTCCTCGAACATTCTTATAATTTACTTTCATATACCTAGCTACAATTATTTTAACGAGAGAAATATAAAAGAGAGAGGACTTTTCAATGGAGACAATGATTTTCAAATAGCGTATAGATAATACTTTATTTTTTGTGTATTAAAAATTATAAAGATTTTTCATATTTGCAATTTTATACAGCTTCTATAAACTATAATGTATATCTTATTTTTTAAAACTTTATAATTCAATTATATATATATATAATTAATGAGAATAAGATATTCTTGAGGATTATTTGCGTATCTGAAATATTTTGCAATATTTAGAGTTTAGGGCTTGAGCAGTTTCTGAATTCTGTTGTTGAATTATTGATAAATGATGGAATACTATTGACATCAAATAGAATGCTAGGCTTTCGCATGAAAAATTATCGTAGGTAATCGATTGTAGGGTCATCTAAATCGGGATGTAATATTCGCCACACCTTTATCCACAAGTATAGATGAAATTGTATCATAATCAGAACTTGCGGAATCGATTCGAGAGCAGGTATTCAATCTTCTTCGATCGCACTAGGAAGATAATTTGTCTTCACATTCTTGCTCCGATAATAAATACGCTTTTTAAGCGCACAATCGTTTGATTTGAAATTCGTTCGTTGATATTATTCTTCTCGCCACGCGTTTGCTTATTTCCGTGACTGACGAATCATTCGCGCTTGTAGGTATGTATCCGGAATAACATGGAATAACAATTGTACGTGCATCACCGCGTGTGCCTTCCAAACAGAAAACGCAAATACAATTGCAAACTTGACGCAATCGTGCAGTGTTATACTGAACAGTGTTACTGATTGTGAGTTATATCGCGGCACGTTGCTGTAAATAAAAAAAATTGACACTAAATATATTAAAAACGTCGAAATTAATTAAGTCATTTTTTTCATATATTTTTTAATATTGATATATAATTCGTTAATTTATTTTTATACATATACATTCTATATTTTTATAAAGAAGGAATATATATTATTTCTCAGATGACATTGAGGTTCGATATCTGGTTTAATGTGAAAATGATAATAAAATTTTATCTAAGCTTTCTATCAGCGTAAGCATGGAAATATTGATAGCTAACAGTCTTGTCCAAAATAAACGTGAAAAATTAGCATATTATAATATTTGCTCGAAAATATATTGTCATTGTTTTCACCACTTCTCATATACCTATACGTATATAGTTGATAAAAAAATCTCAAAGCATGTTTTGAACATGTTTCGAACACTTTTAATACTATTTAAAACATGTTTAAAACATTAAAAACAAAAAACAGACAATATTATATTAAAAAAAAATATTTCCTTTTACCAACCCTGCTCATATACCATATATATCATAATCAGATGTTATTTATGTGTCGCACGTTCATCGAATTTGTATTAATAATTATTTAACTAAATCGATTTTATAATTGGGGGGGGAGGAGGCAAATGTTCCTACATAAGTTATATTACATTATGGATTACATTAATTATTCATCGACTTCTGCTCGATTTATTATCTAGTAAATGCAATGTAGTACGATAATATTTGACAATTTTCAGATAATTGGCAACTGTATGTACAAGACTACATTGGAATATAATCAAAAATAAGTGTTCTAAAATTTTGTTTATTCGTTCTAAAATCGAAATTCGAAACTGGATGTCGACATATGATTTGCCAGCGTTACGATATTAAACATAATTTCGTATCTTTCTTATCGGATAAAAAAAGATAGGGAATCCTTCGATAAAACGCGAATCATAGAAAGTGCCGTTTATCGAATGTAGATAGCCTGTGTAGATAGCCAAAGTAAACTACTTTTGCAAAAAAAAACACAGTGCATGAATGCATTAGTCTGAGAGAAAATTCTTTGCGCCAAACAGGAAGCAGGAATTTAGGACGCTCTCAGAAATACCGCGTTATTTTCAGATACTATTTCAAAATCCCAGTACGTCATTCAGAGATTAAACTTAATAGCCTCTCACTCAAAAATCAAAGTATAGTACCCTTTGAAGGACATATTCGAAGCTCGCGTGCAGCATTTGCCATTAAAATAAAATAAAATTAGTCAGACAGATATACTGCATACGAAAAAAAGTATTGCCAAAGAACGCTTATCGTCCATTTGCACTGATATAAAAATATATTCTTCGTTTGATGTATTTGCCAATAATTCTGATAAATATTCGATATACTGCGATTTTAAAACAAAGAATAGGTTATATTTTTCTTTCTTATTTGTTATTAATGTTAAAGATCTTGAATAATTCTTTGATATTGAAACTGCAGCGCGATAATAGCATTTAAATTAATGCGACTGATGAGCTTAGATACATAATAGATACCTAGGTAAAAATATAGAACGAACTAGTTTCAATTAATAATACGGGCATTGCTTATTTCGATCTTAGATATTTTTATTAATGTTGATTTTTATCTTGATTATCTACCTTTCAAGCTGGCTTATTTTTCAAAGTATTAACGTACCAATATATGTGTGTAAATACACTTAATATGATAGGTTAGTCAAGTATAAGTAACCTTAATTTTGTCCTCAACGATCAAGGTGATAAAAAATAAGGTTACTTATTGATTCATCTATGTATATAATACAATATGTGTATAGTGAAAGCTAAAAATTTTCCACAATTAAAAATACATTACTTAAATATACGATGGACTATAATAACTTATACAATTTTCCATGATTGAAACATTACATAATTTTGCAGATATGTCTAACAGTATGCTTCAGGGAAACTGGATATTTTATCGGTTCGATTTATAGCAGCATCTAACTTGCATTATTTTTATTATGTTTACCACGGGGCGCTTTAATTCGCGCTCGGACGCGTGTGGTATCTAATTCGAGTTCGAAGAAGCACGGGGAGCGGAATGCGTGTCACGGGTCGTTCCATCGTGCGTACACGCGTACATACACGCGTGCATGCGCCAATGAGTGCAATCGCGCGGTCGCATGTGCGTGCAATGCGATGTACGAGATTCCGGTGTACTTACGATCGATGACGCGCAGGTTTACCCTTCTCTTTGCGCGTGAATCGCTACCGGTCGAATGTAAACGAAGTATCAAGGGTAGAAAAAAAATCGAGCGACTACTAAATTGGGTCACCCGTTTACTCACGAGCGCCTCCCTTAATCACGCTTTATCGCGCCATTCGCTGTCGTTAGGACGATTGGGATAATTGTTAAAGAAAATTGCGATATCGCCTCCGATTGATCATCGAGATCCTTCTGGATTACTCGAGATTAATCTTTCGAAATCGTACTGTCATAGAAATAACAGTTGTTTTAATACACTTTTATTGCCGATAATATCAGCGCGCCGATCAAAATTCTTCGCAGTACGTGTAAATCTATTTGAGAGAAAACGTTTCACCTTTCTCTGATAATTCCGAACGCTTTAGAAGAGGCATTAATAATTGACAGCACTTTTTAGATAATCTAAATTTCGTTGAGAAAAGAACTCTTTTAAAGGATCTCATTTAAAGATTCTTCTTCAAAAAAGAAACTTCAAAAAGTTATTTTCTCAGAAAGAAAAACAAATTATCAAAGAATTTAGACGGAAGTTGGTAAAGTCGTTTCGAAACGGAGATTTCAGATCAAAGATCAGAGACGACTCACAGTTTGTTTATTTTTCGCGACTTTGATATCGCGATATTTAACGTGATAATATGAGAAAATTTTTTCCAGTTAACGCAAGAGTGGCTTTTCTGACCGGCGTCGAAATAAACGCGAGTGCAATAGAATCTCTCTCTCTCTCTCTCTCTCTCTCTCTCTTTCTCTCTCTCTCCCTCCCTCCCTCCTCCCCTCTCTCTCAGTCTCACTCCTGTAAAACATAACGGAATCCAGATGGGATCCCTAAAACATATCCCGTAATACGCCAGAATAATGTATTTTACTTAAATTGCGTTCGCGCTTTGGCGTGAAATATTACTACCACAAACTCGATGAATTATATAACACATTCGGATTGCCTAAATAAAAACTAATGACTTTTGAGAAGTTTGTTGAAG